CAGGTAAAGTAGTCTTTTCATTATTTACCAAAAAAAAAAGTAGCCTTTTCATATTCAAAACCCTTTGAAAACAAGTACACACTTTTTCTTGGAGTCACAATTATTCCTTTCTTCCACGTGTCTAATCTTTTTCTCATCCTTTAGATTTTGACTTCTGCTCTAATATGGCTAGCCCTTAAAATTTTCAGAACATAGTGGTCCTTATTCTATTTTGCAACTCCCCATGGTGCATGAGACCTTTTAACAAATTTCATGTGCAACTACAAAAACTATTTGCGCGGGCTCGACTATGTTGCTTTCATTAGTGTTGTTTGGACGTCATAAATGTAATGCAACTAGCTCTTACACTTAAGACTTGATTAATTTTTAAGTTATATTAATGCAAGTATAAGTACTAATATAGACATCAAATATGGGCTTTGTGACAGATTTAGTCCTATCACCCATACTATTAGAGATAAAAGACAATGATTAGGGATAAAATAAGGATCTATAAATGCATACATGTAAAATGATTATTTTATGGCTTTAATAGCTCTTCAGTTGCTGCAGACCAGCAATTTTGCAGCAACACTTACTTTCACTAGGATCCAGTTCTGGATCTTGGAATTTTTTTTTTTAATTTCAGGATCCGGCTCCGTATCTTATGTAAATATATTTGCTGCAAGTTTTTCCATCAGCAGTGGCAGCAGAAATGAGGAACCCTTATATATATATATATATATATATATATATATATATATATATGAGGTAGGATCCTTTCACACCAGTGTTAAATTTGAAGTTTGACACCTCATCTGAGAGCCGTTAGATAAAAAAAGATCAATGGTGTCACATGCTTACAAACCAGAGTCGTTGATCTTTTTTGATCTATCGGCTCTCAGATGAGGTGTCAAATTTCTTATTTGACATCAGTGTCAAAGGATCCTACCTCATATATATCTATAGGATCTTTTGACACCAGTGTCAAATTTGAAATTTGACACCTCATCTGAAAGCCGTTAGATAAAAAAAGATCAACGACTCTTGTTTGTAAGCATGTGACACCATTGATCTTTTTTGATCTAATGACTCTCAGATTAGGTATCAAATTTCAAATTTGACACCGGTGACACCGATATCAAAAGATCCTACCTCATATATATATATATATATATATATATATATATATATATAGGGAGAATAGCTTCTGCTGCGACTGCAGAAGGCTATTCTCCTGCCTACGACTCATTTTTTTTTTACAATTTATATTTTATTTTTTTAAATTAATATATGGTGGGATCCATTAGAAAATTGTGTGTGCTGCAAAAAATTTCTTCTCCCATGAAAGGAGAAGAACAAAGCCCATATATATATATATATGAGCTTATCGTTTCTCAAGCTGCTTGAAATAATCTTATCTCCGACTAGTAAATCATAACCCTACAAAGATGGATCAATCATGATAAAGAAAGAGAGAGAAAAATGTAATCATAACCATTCAAAGGTGAATCAATTAATATAAGGAAATAAATAAACAAAACGACGTAATTTTGGAATAGCCGGAGATAAACTTATCTCAAGCTGCTTGAGAAATATTTTTCATATATATATATATATATATATATATATATATATATATATATATATATATATATATATCACGACTACTTAATTATACGAGCCATTTTAGATAAGAAAGAGAAAATACCTGTTTTATATTGATGCGGCATAATAATATATAAATTTTGTGAATCTATTATTATACCTTTTATTTTATTTTTATTTTTAATTATAACCTACATATTTGATTGGGTAGGGATTAGGGGTGTTAACGAGCCGAGCCAAGCTTTGGTCTTAACGGGCTGAGCCTGTGTTCAAATGTGTCAAACTGGCCTTAGCCTGTTACCTGTTACGAATATAATATCAGCCTGTGACCTGACTTATTTACGAAAAATAAAAGCCTTGTTTAGCCTATTAGTCTGTTTTAAAAAAATAAGACAACAAAAATTTATCTAAACAAAATATACAATCAACAGCACTAGTAATTCCATAAATATTCATAAATTTAATGTATATCCAAATAGCATAATATAAAATAAAATCATTTAAAAAGTCTATTTAATTAATAAAATGGGATGAAATGAATTGAGAAGAGAGAGAGCTATCACAAGTAGTATAAAAAATAAAAAAAATAAAAAAAATAATATATTAGGCAAACCTGAGAGGCTCTAATGCCGAGCTTTTAAATTGAAGTATGAAATCTTTTTATTAAACGAGCTTTTATACAAGTCCAAGCCTGGATCCAACAATCAATTTTAGACATGTAAGCTCAGACCTTCACGAGCCAAACCAAAAACCCATAACTTGTTTAGCATCCCTTGTAGAGATCGAGCATTCGAGATTTTTTCTTTCATTCTGTAGCATTGCTTACCAGTTACAACATGCAACGACGTGGCAGAGACAGACGGGTTGCATGTCTGATCTTGCAGACTTGATGTTCGGTCTTCCCTTTTCATCCCATTGGATGGCAGTACCCGGAACATATGTACCGATAGTAATTAATTGTTTCTCTATGAATAACCTTTTTAATAAAAAGTAATGTATTGTTTCTGCTGCTGTAGCACTGTAAGTCTGTAATTGACCCCACTACATTATTACTTATGCTTTCTAATAAAACAGAAAATTGGGTATCATTTTAAAAGATATAAAGTTGTATCATTTTAAGAGAGAGAAAAAGATAGATAAAAGAAGAGAGAGAATTGACAAAAAAAAATAAAGGTGTAGATTCCACTTCTTTGTGAGAGTGAAAGAATATAGGGGAACCACCATTTTAGAGCTTTTGGGTAAAAGAATTGTCCGGTTAAAGTTGATTGGATAAATTTTTTCAAAGTAATGCAGTCAAACATGTCACATATGTTGACGAGACTAGTCCCGTCAATGATACTGACGGGACTCGTGCCACGCCAGCACCACGTAAGCACTCCAATTACCATAAAACTTCGGAAGGTCATAATTTACGACTTAGATATCCAAATCAGATGATTTTTTTTATTTCATATAACTTTTCAAAATCTACGCAATGACACTTCATTTGACATATTTTATCTCCTACAAACATAGTTTAAATTTGTAACAATTGTACCACAATCGTTTAAATTCAGAAGATCTTCAAACTATGTTTGTGAGATAAAATATATCAAATAAGGTGTCATTGTGTAGATCTCGAAAAGTAATGTGAAATAAAAAAAATCATCTGATTTGGATACCCGAGTCACAAGTTATGACACTTCGAAGTTTTACGGTAACTGGACTGCTTACGTGGCACTGACGTGGTACGTGGCACTGAAGTGACACGTGGCACGAGTCCCATCAGTATCATTGACGGGACTAGTCCTGTCACTATATGTGACATGTTTGACTGCATTACTTTGAAAAAACTTATCCAATCAACTTTAACTGGGCAATTCTTTTGCCCAAAAATTTTAAAATGGTGCTTTAGCCAAAGATATAAGTTGTGTTATTTAAAAGGATAAATATTTTTTCTTTAAAAAAATAATAAACAAGAAATATTTATTTTAAGATTTGTTAAACGCAACTTCAACCCAAAACTTTAATGAATTAGGTGATAATTTTTATAATGCTTTTATTTTATTATATAACACACTCTTTCACGCAAGAGCCCTTATGTCACAAGTCCATTTTTGGTCTGCCTTATACTACACAAGTCTTTTTTTTTTTAATCTTATGATCACTAAAACTCTGATATCATGTTAAACGTCATTTCAACCCAAAGCTTTAAATGTTAGGTAAGCTCATTTTTAATAGTTTATATTATTCTCTACGTTACTCTACCAGTGCGTTTTTTGTTTTCTTTCTCACTGCCATTATAATTGGCTGCATGCAAATGAATATCCCAAAACTTATTTGGATCCTAAAAGGAAAGCCTTACGTGTAAGTTAAGACCCCCGGATTAATGCCGTAACATATGAATATATGCCAGATACATATGATTAGTAATGATATTTTTTCTCTCTATCATTTCACTATATACGTATATAGTGACAAATTTGATGCGGCAAAAAGATATCGACGATGAGTCTTAGCTATATATAGAAAAGTGTGAGATATAGATGGTACGTAAAAGCAAAGTCTACATGTGGAATCAGATAGCCTTATCAAAACGTTTATTTAGAATTAGAAACAAACCTCTCGTGAGGGTAAGTGAAAGTGGGCGACAGAGGGATGGGGTAAAGTCGAAAAAAACCCTTCATTTTGAAAAATTGCCGGGTAAAACTTTAAAGCTAGTTAGAATAGGACCCTAGATCTTGCTATATGAATGAATGAATGAATATAAGAGAGATCCTGCAGAGTCTTAACTGTATCGGGAAAAATTTACTTCACTGGCATTAATTAGATCCCTTTCCCAAGACAGTTCATAAATCTGTAATTAATTTGGTCTTGAAGCTTGAAAAAATGGCATCATTAAAAAGCTGAAAAGGAAACTTCCCTCACTATCTCTTCTAATTTGAAACGCTGAGAGGGAAGAGAAGCATTGAGGTGAATGCAAATATCTGTTGTTAACGTGGAACAAGCCCGGGGTAGTGTGGGGAATGCAGGGGACCTATGATGAGAAATGTGATGGGCCCCGTTTATTTATTGTTTATGCTGACACGCGCATGACTTAGCAAATCAGTTACTTCAAGACTCTGAATGCAGCGAAAGCTGCCAAACCCTGAGCATAAGCCGAAGCTGCTGCATGAAATCATCGTAACTGTTTCTTTTCTTTTAAAACAATAATTGCCAACTCTTGTTGCCAGCGTTTCTTTTACTGTTATTTCACGCATTATATATGTCTTTACACTTCTTCTTTTTCCGGTTGTTCCTACCTCCTTCTTATATATATACACATCTCTTACTTTTCATTCTCATCTCCTCTGCCTTACGTTGTCCCATTCTATAAATCTCTCTCTCTCCAGAGTTCAAAAGGCAGAGGAGTGAAGAATAAACTCTAGAGAAAAATGGACACTAGGGGTCTCGTTCCATTGTTCTTAATGATTCTTGTGCAGTTGGTCTATGCAGGGATGAATATTACCTCAAAGCTTGCAATGCAATCTGGCATGAACCCTCTTATACTTGTTGCTTACCGCCAAATCTTTGCAACTGTGTCCATCTTTCCATTTGCTTATTGGCTGGAATGGTAATATACATATGCATATCCCCCAATATCTATAAATTCTATGAATAATATATATATATATATATATATATATATAATATATATATATATATATTTTTTTTTTTTTGTCATGCTCTTCTTGTCTGGTTTTATTGCATATATAAGGCATTCATAATAATGTTCATATTCAAGATCAAGTAGGGTGTGAAGCACTGCTACTCTGATTGAGTGTTTACGTCAATCACTATTGTTTTGGCCGGTATGGTTTAAGTAATGGATTTTCGATTTATTACACAAAACTAAAAAAACCTCTCCCCCGTTAAATCCGACTAGCGAGTGTGTGTGGAGGTAATCTTTTGTACGCAGCAGTCTTATCCTTGTATAATTGCAAAGAGACTGTTTTCTGGATTTGAATCTATGACTTTTTAGTTTTGAAAGAACAATTAAAATGAAAAAAAAAAGGATTCTGGTAGAATTCAAGTGTTAATTAGACAGCCTCACACATTGGATATTCGATAGGAATGAACTAAGTAAATATCAACAAACAAAAATTCATTATCTTACAATTTTGGTTAGGGTAGGTGTTCAGTCCATTTTTTGATTTAGCTATTGGTTATGAATGATGCTTTTTGCTTGCTGAGAATCTAGAGAAAAAGAACATGAAGGAGAAGATTACAAAAAGGCTAGTAACAAACCATATATATCATACAGTTAATGGGGAAACTCCAAACTTGATAAAAACACTACAACATTTTGCGTAGACAACTTAAAAGTAGAACGCTGATGGCATGCATGTTTGACGCGTTATGAGACTCTGGGGCATGTAACATGCCAGCAACTTTCTACTTTTCAGATCCGTGGTTCTATATGAAAGCATAGAGTCATAGACAAATTGCATGGCCATGGTAGTTGTGCGTGATTTGGATATGACATTCTCGTTTACTTTTGTCTTGTACTTCTACTGAGAAAAAGTTCCGTGGAAATTGTCAGAGTCTTTCTGGCATTATCTTAATGATTTACGAAGAGCCAAAAGACTGGAGGGATGCAGGGAAAACATGGAAGAAAATTAGAAAAATCCTTTACTCTGATCTATTAATTAATGCATCATATAAATTTCAGTTTTTTTTATTACGTTTCAATAAGAAGTCAACTTAATTTTTTGTTTTTTGTTTTCTTCCTCAGGAATACAGTTCCCAGGATGACAAAGCGTATAATGTTCCAGTTATTAGTATCTTCCTTAACAGGGTAAGCTTTGGTTGTTTCGACTCTTTAAGCTCAAGTTGCATTTGTTTCTTATTTTAATTTAAATGTAAAAGCCATAATTTTTAATATACTTTTTAGTATTTTCATGTAAAATCAGCATTTTAATCACACACTTGGGCTTGAATGCAGTGCTACAGGAAACCAGGTTCTGTACTTCTGGGGGCTAAAATATTCAACCGCTACAATTGCATGCGCACTTAGTAATTTGCTCCCAGCTTTCACTTTTATCCTTGCAGTCATCTTCAGGTTGGTAGCAAATTAATTGGACCTATTGTCTATTTCCACAAAATAACATGTTCCACTTTGCAGCTAATAGGCCTTCTAAAAAGTACTTGATAATGATGGCCAAAAAGATAAGATACTACTTGATGATTTGATTTAAATTTAATTTTTATATATTTTTTATTCATTTATCGGTAGACAAGAGAATGTGAAAATCACGAAGAAGGCCAGCGTAGCAAAGGTGTTGGGGACAGTTTTGTGTGTGGGTGGAGCCTTGCTTTTATCATTTTACCATGGAAAAGTCATTGGTTTAGGCGAATCGAGTATTCACTGGGGATATGCAGACAAAATAGAAGGAACAAGCACCTCCGGCAAGTCAAACTCGCTTCTAGGCCCTTTTGTCTTAATTGCTAGCTCCCTTGTTTGGGCATTATGGTTCATAATTCAAGTAAGCATCATTACAAGTGATCTTAAATCTTAATCATTATAGTAGAGGAGTCTGTTTGTATGTACTTGTTTTGCCGTTTCAGGCAGACATAAGCAAGAAGTTTCCAGCTCCTTATACGAGCACCTTCTACATGTGTTTCTTGGCAAGTTTTCAGTGTGTGGTGATTGCCTTGTGCTTTGAACACAGGGCCTCAGAGTGGTCACTCTACAATGCTATGAGGCTTACCTCTTCTCTTTATGCGGTAGATATGCTTCTTCTATTGCTTTGATAGGCATTTAATTCACTAACCAAGCTTCAATGTATATTACACTATTTATTTGAACTTATTAATACACTCAATTGGACCAATATGATGTTGGATTTAGATGTGTGGTGTGGTTTCCATTTATTATGGTTTTGATTTTCTATTGTGCCCATTAATATTGGGTTCCCCTGTGTCTAACCGTAAAACAGTAATTGTGATAATTATATGATAATGATGGTTTCAGGGAATAGTTTGCACTGGGCTAGCGTATTGCCTCATATCGTGGACCATTGAGAGGAGAGGTCCTCTGTATGTCTCTGTATTTACTCCCTTGCAGCTTGTCATCACCGCTATTGTAAGCTGGGCTTTGCTTCGGGAGAAATTATACGTTGGAACGTATGAAATTATATGCACTTCACCTACTTATTTATAACTATTATGTATTACATCTGTTGTCTTTGTTTAATAACTAAAATTTGCTTTGAATTTAATCCCATAATTTTGATTTGGTTTAGTGCCATGGGGTCTCTCGTGATAGTTTTCGGACTCTATTCTGTTCTGTGGGGAAAGAACAAAGAGGTGAATAACAAAGATGCTGCTATTGAAGTGAAAGTGATGGAAGCAATCAAGGATGAAGAGAAGGATGCCAAGAATGATATGGAATTAAAATCCTATATGCCATCCAATGGTAACCATCATGTTGTTACTTAAAGAGAAGGAGGATGAGGCAGTGAGACAGAGGATTCAATGCAGGATATGCTAGCAAAGGCTTAAGACGTTTCAGTTATTTGTTCTTTAGGCTGCCAAATACCCCTGGCCCTGGTCACATTTGAAATCTGATAGCATTCTCTCTCTCTCTCTCTCTTTTTTTGGGGACAATATCTGATAGCATTCTATGATGCTGTGGTTGATCTCGTGTCACATTTGAAATGATCCACAATCGTTATTTTAAGTTTTAATTAAAAGATTCCTTGCAGACATATCAGTTTATTTATACATCCTTTGTTATCTTTCAAAAATGTTAAACTAGAATTTCAGCCCATGCTTATGATAAGGTCATTTTCAATTTTTCAATTATTTGATGCGTTTGTTTATTAAATTAGTAAGTATATGTTCATAAGATTATTGAACTATCTAACATTACTAAAAAAAAAAGGCGAAACTAATACTTCTTACGTAATCATTACACATTCAGCAATACAACAAATAGATTATAAAATTGTTTTCACATCAATTATGCAAACTATTGGAAAATCCTTTTTCCTTTATAAATATTTTTTCACATCAATTAAGAAACAGTTATTAATCTCCCAACAAGTACATAATGGAATCTGCAATAAAAAAAAATATTGAAATATAAATATAAATGAAAAAAAATATATATATATAGGAGAGTGTTATGTTTATAAATTTTTTATTTACAAATTACACTATGTACTCTCGAAAGTATACTAGGTTACACTGTGTACTTCCGGAAGTACATAATATAATTTGCAAAAATTTATAAAAAAAATTATAAATAAATCATTTCCCATATATATATATATATATAGAGGTAGGATCCTTTGACACCGGTGTTATATTTCAATTTTGACACCTCATCTGAGAGCCTTTAGATCAAAAAAGATTCAACGACTCTGATTTGCAAGCATGTGACACCATTGATCTTTTTTGATCTAAGGGCTCTCAGATGAGGTGTCAAAATTGAAATTTGACACCGGTGTCAAAGGATCCTACCTCATATATATATATATATATATATATATATATATATATATATGAGGTAGGATCCTTTGACACCGGTGTCAAATTTGAAATTTGACACCTTATATGAGAGCCGTTAGATCAAAAAATATCAACGACTTTGATTTGTAAGCATGTGATACCATTGATATTTTTTGATCTAACGGCTCTCATATGAGGTGTCAAAGGATTCTACCTCTCTCTCTCTCTCTCTCTCTCTATATATATATATATATATATATATATATATGAGAAATAGTAGTCTCATGTTGTAGGAGACTACTATCTTATGTCATAGACACTTCGATAAGTGTGCTGCTATTTTCTTTTCTTTTCTTTTATTTTTTTTAGTGTGAGTTCCATCATTTTGTGTCTTAGCATGAGATATGCTCTCTCTTACAATATGAGAGTAGACAAACCGTATATATATATATATATATATATATATATATATATATATATATATATATATATATATATATATATATATATATATCATAACACTTCAATCCATTATTTTTGCTCAAATCTTCTCTGATTCCAGCCCTAGCCGCCTAGAGTACCATAGCGTTATCTTCTTTTTCAGTTCTCTAATGTATAATTGGTTAATTACTTAAAAATATTAGGTTTCCTAACCTCCAGGCAATTTAGCTTTCAAGGTTTGCTTGAGTCGGGAGTTTAAATTCTGCTTCAAATAAATTTTTGAAAAATCTTTGGGGTCAAAAGATGTGTCTCCCTTCTCGAATGAGGATGAGTCTCATCCTTCATCCGATAGCGAAACTCAATGCACCCACTATTTCAATAAAGGACTAGTCTACAGAGCCGTACCCCGAAAAAACAATAAATAAAAAATGAAAGGAATCATATATAATTTTTTTTACTTTTTCCTTTTAAAAAAAATTATAATTGTTACTCTTTGACTGCGATTGTTTTAAAAATCGAACTGATCATTGAATCGTTAAATGCACTATTTTACGGTTTATTGGTCTAACTGTGGTTAAATTTTGATCGAATCAGTAAAAACTAAATATATAATTTTAATATTACATAATATATAAAGCAATGAACTAAAATAAAATTAAAAGAGATTAAGTTAAGTAAAATTCTAAATTAGTATAAATGGACCATATTATATGTTATGCGTGATAAAAAAAAACAAAATAATAATAATCTTTACGTAACTCTTTATTCATTTCAAAGTATGTTTTTAGCTAAATAAAAAAAGGTTTAAAATTGGATTATCGCCACGCGACTGGTTTTTAACTTTTGGATCCGTTTGACTTATATTGTAAGGAAAAGTTATTTCTGCTGAAATTTTTTCTGCGCCACACACACTTACATTGTATAAATTAACTGGTTTATCAATTTTCCAACCAAAATTGAGAAATACTGTTTACTACTGTATACGAGTCCACGGTAGAATCGTCGTTCCAACACTTCACTTTGGCATTCAATTGCTTGGAATCGTCGTTACCTTCCCAAAGGTGCTCGCATTTGTTAGGGTACCTTCTTTGCGGATCCGCACTCTCAAGTCTCAAGCTCACTGATCTGCTTCTCCTGTAAGCTTCTCATATCAGCAGCACTATTTGTTTTCACTGTTTGGAATGGTTCTTGCTTTTGCTACGCACTCATTCCTTTTGTGTGATTTGAATCTGAATAACGACTTTATTCGAGCTCTGTTCCATCTTTTGTCTGTTCCAACTCTCACTTGTCTCATCTTAGGTTTTGTTTCGTTTTCCCGCAGATCTAGTGAATCAAGCATGTTTGCGATCTTAATCTTCCCTTTCGCTATGTTCTAAGTAATAGCAAGTGAAATAATTTCATGTCAAACAGATATGATGTTTTTCCCCATTCATTAAATTTCAATTGGTACAGACTTTGTTGGATACATTTGGTAGATTTTATGGAACGGGGTTTTAGGGTTTACTTTATGTGTTTGATAGATTTTTGGGTAATTGGACAAATAAAATTTGCGTTTTCCCCTCTTAGTTATGTATCCAGAAAATTAGGTTGCTCTCGTTGTATGCGCTTGTACAAAACTCTGTAGCTGTATGGAGTGCTTTCTAGTATCTTGCTTTTGAATCTATCAGGAAGAGACTGGTTCTCTAATATCCTGTTTCTTAAACTATGAGATTTATCACTAAAGGAATGTACTGCCATATGACAGTTTTTGGCCCAAAAAATCTATATTGATTTCGTAATTTCTCATCATTGATTCTGCCATACAGTTAAAATAAGAGATGGGGCTGTCTTTCACCAAACTTTTTAGTCGACTTTTTGCCAAGAAAGAGATGCGTATTCTCATGGTAGGTCTTGATGCTGCTGGTAAGGCTACCATATTGTACAAGCTCAAGCTGGGAGAGATTGTCATGACCATTCCAACAATTGGTATGCTCCTTTCAAATTTGTCTTGTGCATGACTACTTTCCTACTTTTGTTCCAACATTTTTGTTCCCTGAAATTTTGGATTTTTGAACTCCTTATTATATGATTTCTTCACCATTCAACTTGTCTTGCTTAAGTTTTGGCTTCCCCCCACCCCACCAAACAACAACAACCCAATTGATGCTTATGTTTGCCATTGTACGGGGTTTTATGTGGAGACTGTAGAATATTAAAACATTAGGTTCATTGTTTGGGATGTGGGTGGCCAAGATAAGATTTGTGTCTTGTATAGTTTGTAGTTTTTGTATGAGATGATTGAGATCTATTTATACTTTGGAAAGAATATTATATTTAATTATACAACGATTCATTATATAAAAATTTCCACCCTTTCATTTACTTAAAGTCCAGGTCCCATCAGAACTGATTAGAAAACTTGCAAGAAACACAAAAGGTGACTGGAAAACACCAAAGTGTCAAGAAACTGCCGCAAAAAGATGTCAAATGATATTGGTTTTGCGGAACATTCCAAATGGCTTGGACCCATGACCAAATGAGACCAGATCCGGACAGAGAAGAGTGAGACAAGGTGATCTGTGGTGGTTCGACCAAAAAAGGCCACTAGATGGTGGATTGCATGCTGCTTGAAAGTTTTCTGGCCGTCATACGTTTAGGGCATGTGGGAGTGTGTGCTACCTCCGATCGAGGTGGGACCTAGACTGATGTGGTCGTCGGCCAAAAAAGTCATTGACGGGAGGTCAACGGTCAGAGGAGCAATGGATGGTTGAGCAAGGAGACTAAAAGGAAGCGCAGCCAGAGAGAGGCTGTCATATTGACGCATGACAAAGAAAGTAGGTTGCCAGTATGAAGTGCAACAAGGGGACGATGGCTACTGAGCAGTTAGCACAATAGAACTACTAGGGTTTTGCGGAAATAGAGGCTCCTAGATCGAGAACTTTGATAAAAAAAAAAATCACTCCCCGTTAAACCCGACTAGTTAGTGTGGGGTGGAGGTAATCCTTGTACGCAGTCTTACCCTTGCATAATTGCAAAGAGGTTGTTTCCTGGATTCGAACCCATGACCTTTCAGTCATGAAGGAACAACTTTACCACTGCTCCGATTCGCTCCCTTTTAGATCGAGAACTCTGATACCAAACTTAAAATTGAGGAACTGTGTGTCTAATGCAACCTCACAAGGATTATATTAATAATAATCAAATATGGTCTTGAGCCCTATTAACATGATGTGGTACAAATAAACAATAATCTATACATGTAATGTAATCATTCTAACATATTCTTTGATAGAGCGCTCTGAACCTGAAACGAATGATGTGAACATGTGCTATTAAACCATTTATCTTTCATAATTTTTTTAGATTTCCTTGATATTTAGTTTGCTGGTTGAAATATGCTTGTTTTGTGGGCTGTGGGCTTATGGACTGTCATGTGCTAATTAGATGTTCCCTCATTAGCACACAACACATACATAAGCTATAAATTGGGCCATCTTTGTCTTTCAAGTTTTTCCTATGACAATGTGAGGGAAGGCTATCCTTGTCGTGGCTTACATTTACATGTT